CAGGAGGGGTGGTGCCTGGGGACCAGAATCAGGTCCACAGTTTCAGCAGGGGCCTTTGGGGTCAACTCCTGGTGCCAACTCTGTTTTCTAAAGCCCCTCCCCTGCCAAAGCAGTAACAGCTGCAGGGGCTGAGAGCCCCAGGATTCTTCCCGGTCAGCTGTGCGCGCCTCACCCCCTTGCACCGTCTCAGCCCGGGGCCATCTCGCTCCCACCTCGCAATCTGTATGTATCTTCGTGCATCTGTCTGCATTCCAGACCCTGCTCTCACATTAACGACGTGTCAACTCTGGATGCTTTCCCACCCATAAAAGGAGAAGGTTGGACTAGGTTTTGGAGAGCCTTTCCAGCTTTAATGTTAAATGGTTTTATGATTCCAATGCCTCCCCAATACTGGTTTTCCCTAGCTGGCCTCTCCCTGGTCCTCCTTTCTGCCTTTCCATTTCTCTCCCAATGACTCTTCTTGCCCCAGGTTTGAATCACAGAAATAGAAGGACTATAAACCCAGACACAGAGGGTCCAGGAGGCCCTTCCTCTCCCTGGAAGGCAGGTCCCGGGCCAGTCTGCCCCACCAGGTCTGGGCATCTCCTCCCTGACTTGCTCTAGCCTCGCCTTGACACGGGTTCCCTGACACGAGCTCTTGCCCTCCATTTCTCACCTCTTTTTTCCTTATCCCCGTCTCCCCGCATCAGGATGGGGCTGGGAGCAGTTTGTTTTTGTCCTCTCCCGCCCCTTCCTCTCCACCCACCCAGCTCTTTCTTTCCTTCTCTCTCTCTCTCTCTCTCTCTCAGCCCGCCCCACCTCCTGCATCTCGACCCCCGCGGGTACCTAGCCCCGCTCCTTACTGCGGCTGCGCAGAACTGTGGCGGCTCCTAAATCCTCCGGAAACTGACTGGCAACTATTGACGTCAGCCCCCTTTCCCGCCGGCCATTCTGATTGGCGGACAGTCCCGAGGCGAGGATGGGGTTTTGGTAGGAGAGCCGCCCGGGAGCCCAGTGGCCTCACCTAGCTGTTCATTCTTCCCCAGGGACCTGCTCCGAATCGGAGTCACTCTGGCGGGGCATCAGAAAAAAATCCTGGCCAGTGTGCAGCACATGAAGTCCCAGGCCAAGCCTGGAGCCTCAGGAGGGTCGGGGGCACCAGCGCCCCAGTACTGACCTGCGCCTCCTCGCCTGGCCCCCCAGCTCTGGAGCGGCAGGAACTCCCACGCTGGGGACACCGCTCCCCTTATTCCCGGGGCAGAATCGGGTGGGGACCCAAGAGGCTCCCATCCCCGGGCCCCACTGGATTGCACTTTGAACCCATGGGGGCGGGGAGCTGGTAATTTGGAGAGAAGGGATTTGGGGATTCGGCCGTACGGGAGTGTAGAAATCAGACCCTCCCCAAGCGGGGAACCCCAAACTGAGGGTGTGGGAGCCCTTCCCTCGGGATTGGGTCTGAACAGAGGAAAAGAAGTGCCCAGAATCTGCCAACATCCCGGGGGTGGGGGGTGTTGGGCACAATCCCACGGCCTCCCTCCGATCCCCAATTAGAGCCCCCAGGTGCCCCTCCTCACCTTGAAGGGCAGCGACCCTGCAGACCAAAGAGAAGGGGGGACTAGCCTGCGAGTCGTGAGGCAGGAAGGGGCGGCATGGCCCAGTGACAAAATCATTGGACTTGGATGTCCCAACCTTGCTGCTGTCTCCACCGAATTCGGTTTTCCCTTGTAAATGCCCCTCCCCCATCTGCTGCCTTCATATTGAAGGTTTTTGAGTTTTATTTTTTGTTTTCGGTCTTATTTTTCCTTCCCTTTTTTTTTTTTTTTTATACCGTCCTTGTAACTTTTTGTGTTAGAGGGGACCTGTTTATCGCCTCCTTTGCCCAAGTTGAAACGGACCCATCGTTGTGTGTTTCCAGAACAGTGCCTTGGTCACGCCGCAACCCCAGACATTTCCCTGCCCCCCCAAGTACCCCTAAGCTGTGTCCATGAGGGGGTGTGGGGGGCAGTGGTGTTAGAAACAAGAGACAGACACTGGTGCTTGGAGGGGTTCTTAAATTATATTTAAAACAATTGTTTTGTATAAATAAAAGAAAATGGAAAGCGTCCTGGCTCTGGGGATGATTGGGAGTGGGGTGGGTGGGGGAATAGACTTCTGTGGAGGGTGGGGACTGGTGTGAAGGAGCTTTTGAGCCAGGCTGAGAGGGGTCGGAGGTCTGGAGACGGGGCTGGGTGTTTGGTTCCCAGCCCCACGGTGTGTTTGAGGTGGTAGGGTGGGGGCAGTGGAAGATGAGTCATCGGCAGCTGCTTCTAACGGCTCCAGACGGCTCTGCCAATAGCCTGGGGCACCTCCGGGATGGGGTTGCCCTCCCTCCCCTGCCCTGGTTCCCTAGCCCTGGCAGGGGGCTTTGTGAGGCAGGGGAGGCCTTGAGCTCGGAGCCTGGCCCTACAGCCCCCTGAAGGGGGGAGGGGGGAATCTGGGGTGGAGGTCCAGTCACATGAAAGAGACAGATGTGGGCCAGATGTTAACAGCTGGGGTTGGTTTAGAGGCAATGTGGGGGGGAGTGTCTGCATCGGCTGTGGAGGAGGGGCAGAGGCTGGAGTGGAGGACGTGGACCCCCCACAAGTACACACACGCACACACACACACACGCACACACACACACACACACACACACACACACACACACACACGTGTACAGATGCTGCGCTAGGTTGGGAGGACAATTCCCCCTTTCAAGATGCTGCCCAGGCAGGTTCTCCCAGCCTCTTGGGAAGGGAGGGGAAACCACCTGAGTATCTTCCCCTAACTTCTCCCTCCCAAACAGGAAGATGAGATGAGGGTGGGGGTCAGTCCCCCAAAGTCTCTCAGCATCTTTGGTTTCCCAGCCTGCCCGCCCCAGGAGACAACTGCAGGGGCAGCCCTGGACCGGGTCAGGTTTGTCAAGCTGGTGCAGCCCTGCCATTTCTGCATCTCAGCTGACCCCTGTTGTCGTGTTGGGGTCAGTACAGGACCCCAAATCACAATCTCTGCCTCTCCCAGCCCAGGAAGCCTCCGGCAGTGATCCTGCCCCCAATTTCCTGCCTTTGGGAGTATAATACTCTGGAATCCTCTGTTGCCTCCCTCGATGACACGGCCCAGGTGTTGTACCCCTAAAAGCGGGTGGATGGGAGTCCGTCCTGCCGATGACAGCGGGGGTCTGGGTCCCCCTACTTCCAGAAGGAGGAAGTCTATCTCGAGGATGCTGGTCCAGGCCACCTCCTTCGCTGCCAACCAGACATCCAGGCTAGATAAGGAGACCTTAGCTGGGTGAGGGGAGGAACCGAGATCAAGGGGGCAGGATATAGATGAAGAACAGAGAGGCAGAGGATCAAAGAGCAGGAGAAGGGAGCTCAGTGCGGGCAGGCATGCCGCCGGGAGCCCCGTGATGCCCAGGTTAAAGCACGGCCAGTCCAGTTCCAGAAGGCCTGAGCCTTCCTGTCACAAGCTCCAGAGTGTGAGCTGCTCCCCCCAGCTAAGGGGCTGGGTGGCCTGGCCAGGGGCACCCCTCCCTTGGAGCCCGTTCCCCAGCCAGCTTGGGTCCTGCTTCCTTACATGAAGGTGGCTTCTGGGGTCATTTGGAGGACAAGCACAGAATAAGGATTCCTTTCTAGAACCCAGGGTCCTGCCTGTTTTGGCATCCCCTGTCCTTGGGGGTCCCACATCCTGAGCACCCCCGTTGACAACCTTCTTTTTCTTGGAGCCCAAGCAGGATGTCCCACCCCTTCCCCCAGGACCTGCCTGGTGAGAGGCACGAGGCACAGGGGTCAGGGTGGGAATGTTTGCACTTTGGCCTTTGGCCGAGGTGAGCTGCTCACTCCTAATAGGATGGAGCTCCAAACTCCTCCCAAGCCGGCCCTCAGACTCCACCCTCAGTTACCATAGGAACCCCAAGGCCCTTTTGGTCACAGGCCGGCCGGTTCACCCTTTGGAAAAAGCCACATCCCCAGTCGTTAGCCTCTGCCCAGCGCCTTAGTCGCATCGTTAGAAATGGAAAACCTCAGGATTACCTTTCACTACCTGCCGGTGGGGAGCTCTGAGGCCAAGTCCGCCAAGAACAAGGATTCCTGGCGTGAAGTCTTTTCTCCTGTATCCCTGAAGCAGAGGGCGGGTGGTCCACCCTCACGTGGCTTTGTCTAAGGGACAGACAGCCCCTCACCTCCGCAGACCTCTGTTCCCCTCCCCTCTGGACGCTCTGTGGAGCCCCCAGCCCTAGACCCTCACACCCCGTCTCCCTCCTACTTCTCCCCTCAAGACCCCCCTCACAGAGCCTTTCTCCACCAGAATCATGTACAAATTCACGTCTCAAAAATAAATAATTTTATGTCTCCTTCTTCTGTGGACAACTCAAAACTGAGCGACTTTGAAGGCATGGTCTGGAGCAAAATCTGAGGAGAAAGCGAGAAAACCTTGTATTAGAAGCAGACCCGACTTCCCGGAGCCAAAGCTGTGGACGGTGGGGCTGGTGCTCGCCGGTACCTGGCAGCTCGTCTCTGGTCTGGCTCTGCATTTTCTCCCTAGAGGGCGTGGGGAACAGACACCAGCTTGAAGGTCGGCGCCCGCTCCCCGTGTTTGCTCCCCTACCAGCCGCCCCTCCTCTTCCCCTTTCCTGAAACTCACCCCCTCCTCTTCCTGGAAATGCATTCTCTGGTCACTGCTGACACTATGACCAGCACAGTCACCAGCAATCCCAACAGGATGACCGCAAAGTTGGAGGCTTCTGGGACATGGGGAAGAGAAATAGGGATGTGGGATAGGAAGAGGTGGCAGAGACACTCCCTTTCAGTCCTCGGCTGCCACCCTGGAGGGATTGCATCCCCTACATCCCTGGTGGCTGTTTCTCCCTCAAGGAGGCTGCTGCTCCCAGGGGTTTCAAGGCCTTGGTGCTGCCCTCCTGCTTCTGGACACACAACTCCCATGAACCTTCTAAGGGGATGTTTATCCAGTTGGTCCGCTAGAGTCCAGGGTATTATGTCAGTCCGTGCTTCTCAAAGAGTAGCCCAGGCATCACTTCCATCGGTCACCTGGGAGCTTGTGAAAAATGCAGATCTCTGGGGCCCCCTCCAGACCTACTGAATGCAAATCTCTGGGGATGAGTCCCGGAATGAACAAGGTAAACAAGACAGCCCTGCTCCACCCCGATCTTAGGCACGAGGATAAAGTTGGAGAACCGCTGGCCCAGAGGCTCACAGGAATTACAGTTTGGGATGGAGAATACCAATAAAAGGTACTGGAGGCTCAGAGGGACACAAGGGAGGGGAATAACAGCAGGGTGAGGCATACAGATCTCAGAAGTGGGGAGCTCAGGATCAGACAGAAGATTCCAGAGTGTGTGGGTAGGAGATGGGCAAAGGGACTCTGAGATCCTTGAAGGACACTGACCTGGCTAATCTGTAGGGATCATATTATAATATTATTACATTTCATATAGTAATATACCACATTGATACTATACTATCTATTATACATCTATAATAGATATTATAGGTTAATACTATATATATGGGATAATTCTGCGGCCATTGTTTGTGGGGAAGGGGCTGTGAGGATACAGGCTGGGATACAGGCTGTGAGGATACAGGCTGGGATGAAGGATACAGGCTGTGAGGATACAGGCTGGGATGAAGGATACAGGCTGGGATGAAGGATACAGGCTGTGAGGATACAGGCTGGGATGAAGGATACAGGCTGTGAGGATACAGGCTGGGATGAAGTTCTTGCCTGGCTTTTTGGGGGGTGGCACATCCCGAGGCTCCGTGCAGAGGTGTCCCCCGTAACCAAGCTCACACTCACAGGTGAAGTGGGTTCCCTGATCCTGGCAGCGACCATCATTCTGACAGGGGTTCTGTAGGCACGGGCTGTCTGCAAGGTTGGAAGGGGTTGGGAGGGGGGTTCTGAGAGGGGCTTCTCCACAGCCAGGGAGAGGGGGCTGGGGGCTGGGACGCCAGGGAAGAAAGCAGCAGCTGACAGAGACTCGCCAGGTCCACTGGCCGGGTTTCCAGTCCTGGCTCTACACTCCCCGAGCTCTGGGGAAACTGCTCACCCTCTCTGAACTCCATTTTCTTTACCTATAAAGTGGGGATGCTGTGCTTACCCCCAGGTGGTGAGTAAGGACTAAAGGAGATCCTGGGAAGCTAACGCTGGGCAAAGGGCCCAGCATGGTGCCCGGCAGAGAGCAGAGGCTCAGAGAAGGCAGGGCCTGTGCCTTTGCCCCTCCCGAAGAAGACAGAGTGGGATCGCATGGCACGAACTTCCTGACACTGATGAGATGGAGTCCCAGGCACAGGACTGGGAGGGATGCTCCTCGGTCCAGGGACACCTCCACCCTCACCCCCACCCCCACCCCCAGCCCGCTGTCAAGGGCCAGTCCAGGCTCACCTCGGAAGCAGCCACGAGTGAGGTTCCCCAGGGTGCAGATCTCCCCAGGGCTGCAGCTGAGGGGCTCACACAGCAGGACCCCCGAGCTGGCACAGGTGCAGCGCTGGGAGCAATCCTCGGTCACGAAGCCGTCACCCTGCTGGAGAGGGAGAAGGGGCGGGAGGTGGGGTTCTGGTTCACCTCCAGAGTCTGGCTCTCCTTGTCTGCTCTCCCGAGGCCTCCCACTTCCAGCCCGGACCTGGTAGTAGATGCCATTGTTGGTGCAGCCGCAGTGGGCCAGGGGGAGGCTCTGGGCACCGCTGTAGATGTAGCCTGGGAGGCTGGCACAGCCCTCCACGCAGGGGCCCTTGCAGTCCCTGGGAGCTGCCAGGGTGGCACAGGAGGCTGGGCAGGGTGTCATGCAGCTCTGATAGACGGTATTGGCTGGACACGGCAAGGCTGAGGGGACAGAGGGGACAGAGTCATAGTCAGAAGGTGGCTGCGCTGGGGCTGGCCCCCCACGTGTGGGCAACGAGGTCACCCAACAGAGCACAGAGCTTGGTAGAGGCAGGGGAGCCAGAAGAGTGGACCAGCTTTACGTGTCTTTTTGTCTGTGACACCAGCGCATGAGGTGGAGCGAGGATGGGCACCGGCGAGAAGGAGCAGGACGGGGTGATGGGGTGACAGGGTGACGGGGTGACGGGGCTGAGGCTTCGGGTGAGGGCACAGAAGGAGTTAGTTCGGGAGGGCGTTGACAAGGGGAAAGTTCAGGGCTGGGGGAAGCAAGGCAGGAAGCCAAGGTGCAGGTACCGGTGGGGGCTCAGAGCGGAGCAGAGGGCGGAAATGGCCGGGGGCAGGGGAGGAGGCCAGGAGCCCACGGCTGGGGAAGGTCAGGGCCTCACCGCAGTGGGTGTGGTTCCGCCAGCTGACTGGGTTGGCGCCCACTTCCTGGCAGATGATGGCGTACCCGCTGAGGACCTGGCAACGCCGCTCGTCCTGCTCTTTGGGGTCCCGGGCGGCACACAGATCAGACACACAGTGCCTGGGGGGATGGCAGGGACAGTTGGGTGCTGTCAGAGAGGGGGAGGCAAGGAGACCCGGCCCCACAGAAGAGGCCCTGGAAGCCCACCAGGCAGTGTGCGTGTGTGCATGTGTGTGTGTGTGTGTGTGTGCGTGCGTGTGCGTGTGTGTGTGTGTGTGTGTGTGTGAGACAAGTACGAAGGCCACAGAGAGAACTGTGCCCAACAGAGAGCCGATCAGAGAACAGGCCCCAGGACCTGGAGAAAGGCCATTCCCACGTGGCCTGGGTCCCCGACTCACTCCAGGAAGGGTTCCGGGGCCACAGGCTGGTGGCAGGCAGCGAAGGGGCCCTGGGGGTCCACCAGCACACTACACGCCCGTGTGTGCTCGATGAGCTCCAGCTGCTCCGGGCTGCATTCTGACACATGAAAGCCTGACGCCTCCTCTTCTTTCACTTCCTCCTCTTGTACCTCCCTGGGGCAGAGATAGTGAAGGGCCAGGTGAGGCCCACCATGGCTGTGAACTTAGGAAGAACTGGGGGGTGAGGGGAGGGGAGGGCTCAGGCACGGACCGGGATCCACAGGGCAGGTGCCCCACAGTCAGTGGGAGGGGAAAGAAACGATGGGATTAGGAGAATCAGGCCAGTCTGAGCCCTTGACCTCGGGGTTCCTCCTCTGCTGAGGATATGGGGGTGAGCAGGGTATAAACAGATACTACGGTGTCGCTCATCGCCCCTCCAGCCCAGCCTGGGCCTCCCTGCTCAGAGCCCCAGGCCTTTCACCTTGAGAAGCGGGGGAGGCCTCCCTTGGTCTTCTTCACCTCCCAACTGTTGCCAAAGACAAGGAGATTCTGGGTGAGGGCACCGTCGGGCAGCATAAAATCATTCCTCTTGTTCTGGTCGTAGTTGCCGCACAGGCCGCGCACAAGCCTTCGGTACGTGATGGGCAGGGAGATCACTGCAGGAGGAAGGGGTCCCAGCATCGAAACTCCCCACCTCGTCACTTCCCACCCCTCCTGGGTCCTCCCCTGGAGCTCGGGGGCCCCACTCCCAGGCAGAGGTCCTTTCACTATGTTCGGCCCAAGACGTGGTTTTCCCTACCCCCATCCTTGGAATGTCCCTTCGGCCCTCCGGTCCCCACGCTCAGGTACCTGCGTTGTTCTTTCCATTGAAGCTGATGACCAGCTCAAAGTCTGTGATCAGATACAGGCGATGGCCTCGCATGGTGACCCGCAGCTGGTCGTTGGGCTCGTAGGGGATGGTCACCTTCTGACCGTTGACCTGGAGAAGGCAGACAGGAGCCGCACGGAGGCCTGAATCAAGGTGACCCTCTGCCGCTTTGGCCTCTGTCTCTCTGCACATCTTGGTACCTCTCGGTGCCGTCATTCCGGGGAACAAGATACCGCAGGAAGCTTTGCTACCCCGAGTGGCAAAGGCCTCCCTGAGGTCTGCTCCTGTTGCAGCCTCAGCCCCTTCCTTGCAAAGAAACTGGCAGGTGGGTGCCCTGGTACTTCTTCAGCACAGCTCCACCCTCACACTGCATGAGTTTCCCTTCTCTCTCTCCCCTGCCTCTCTCCCACCTTGTGTGTAATCCCACTGCCCTCCTCTGCCCTCCCCCCCACAAGGAGGTGAGTGTGGCACTGATTCTGATTTCCAAAACTAGGCAGCCTCTGCTGGGACCTTCCCAGGGAACACAGAGTCCTGGCTTCACCTGCTCCAGGTGGCCTCCCATGGCCCGACCTGCCTCCCCAGACCCTCCCGTCCTGGCCTGGCTCTTACTACAAGTCCCAGTTCCGTCTGGAGCTGGACTGTGTAGCCGTAGACCGTCACAATGATTTCGTGCAGGAAGATGGGGTTGAAGGACGGATACCCCTTGTTGCGGCCCTCCACGACCAAGGGCTCCACCCCATCAGGGAGCACGTCCAAGGTCTTGATCAGAAAGTAGGTCATGCGGCCCTGGAAGCGGTAGCTGAGGCCATCAAATGTGCGGTAAGTGGGGTCCCCATAAATTGTGCATTGCTCCGACTCTGAAAAGAAGGGCCAACGCTGAGAAGGCACCCTGAGTGATGTAACTGCCCCAGAGCCCCTCACCTGCCTGGGGCCTCCTGTCACCTTCCCTCTTAGCCCTGGGCTCCCCGTGGACTTGATCTTCCACTTTCTCCCTCTCCCAGCTTGAGAGGATCTCCTTGTCTGGTTCCCTCTTTTTGCCCTGAAGATAGCAGATCCCAGAGAGGATCATGCAGGCGACAAGGGAGCTGGTAAGAGCCTGAGAGCCTAGGCCCACTCCTGCCCGCGCCGGGTCCCTCCCTCTCCAGAGCCCCCAGCCCAGGCCCCTCTGGCTCCACCTCCCCGAGGGCCCCCTTACTCTCGGGTGCGCAGTAGTCTTTGCCGTCCTTGTTGGGCTGGCACTGGGAGCCCGAGGGGCAGGCGAAGGGCCCGCACTGAATGACGCCCGCTCTGCAGGCACACCTCTTGGAGCAGCCTCCGGAGAACCAGGACTTACCCGCCTGCAGACGCCGCAGGAAGAACGGGGAGTGAGAAGCGAAGGGCCAGCTCCCTTTCCTCGACGACTTCAGCCTAAGCCTACAGTCTGATGGCTCACTGGGCACGGGCCAGAGGCAGTCCCCGCGCCATCTGCACCCTTATGGACCTGTAGCGCCCCCTAGAGGCGTTGTGCTGGGTGTGTCTCACACAGGCTGCTCAGGAGGTACTGCTGAACCCATCTTACAGATGAGGAAACTGAGGTCACAGAGGTCCCCTGACTCGTGAGTGGTACCATCAGGATTCAAATCAAAGCCACCCTACCGGCTGCATCCCTGTGGTTTGCATTTCTCAGTCCCCAAACCCAAACCACACACCCTCTAGCCCACCCAGGAGGCCACCCTGCCCCATCACCAGCCTTCACACCCAGGGCCAGCGGTGGAGGCGTGGGTGGCCCAGGCCTAGAGAGGCACGGGAAAGGAGAACATGGCATCCCGAAGGTATGTTACCCCCACCCCTACTTCCTGGCCCCACTCACAGGGAGGGAGTTGCCCTGGGCGTCCCTGCAGCTGCACTGGCTCCTGGGCACACACTGCTGTCCACTGAGCACGTAGCCGGGCTCACAGTCACAGCCCTCCTCGCAGGTGGAGGGCACTCTGGAGCCTTTGCACTGGCCTTCCGGGTCCCAGCAGGAAGGAGGGCAGGAGGGAACGCAGGTGGTGTAGACGCTGTGGGCGGAGCAGTCCAGAGCTGGAGGCGGGGGCGGGGGGGGGGGAACATTGACTGAGCGTGGGCTGTGTGCTGGCTCCGAGGACAGAAGAGAGCAAGAATTGGTTCTCCCCGCTCAGCGTGGGAATCCGGGATCAGCCCGCAGCTGCAGCAGCGCGACCCTGGTGCATCTGGTCAGTAAGCATGTGACTGGCGTGTGTGTGTACGAGGTGTGACAGGAGCACAGGGCAGGGAGGTATCCACTGTGCTGGAGGAGCTAAATAAAGCCCTTTAAGTAGAAGTAGTTGCAAACAAACGGAACTGTTCACAGATGGGAAGATGTCAGTCTTCCCTAAGTTAATTTAATTATTATTTAGTTTTTTGGCCGCGCCATGCGCCATGTGGGATCTTAGTTCCCCGACCAGGGATCGAACTTGTGCCCCCCATGGAAGCGCAGAATCCTAACCACTGGACTGCCAGGGAAGTCCCTCCCTAATTATACATTTAATACGATACCCCAAAATACACCAACAGGATTTTTTTTTTTTTTTAATAGGACAAGATGATATTAATGTGGAAATGAGGATCTAAACAAAGCAGAAAAGCTGGGAAAATTCTAAAACAAACCAAAAAAAACTGGGGGAAAAAAAAAACCAGCAGTAGGTAGTGTATGTCCTTACCAGAAATCTAAACACTATCTAAACTCTCAATGACCACAACATTGTGCTGCTGGTAAATGAAGATACATGGAGCAGTGGAAGCGGAGAAAAAGGCCCAGAGAGGGATCCAAATACGTGTGGGAATTTAATATAAATCATGGCATCTGAGTCAGTGGAAAAAGAGAGAATGGTCATTTAATAATACTGGGAAAAAATAGACACAAAGTTGATTCAGTTCTCATCCTACACACCAGGGTAAATCCCCATGGATCAAACATTTAAATATAAAAAAAAAAGAAACAATACAAATACTAGAGCAAAACACAGGCAAATTCTTTTTTAACTTCAGAGTGGGGAAGCCGTTTGTAACTAAGGCTCAAACTGCAGAAGCCATAAAACAAAGATTATTATATTTGACCTCACAAATACATATATATATATATATATATATATATATATTTTTTTTTTTTTTTTCTGCATGGTAAAAAAGAGTGAAAGATGAAAAAAAGAGACCTGGACAAAATTTTTGTAACTCATGGCACTAATGAAGGGCTACTCTCTGCAGCAGACAAAGGACATCTATAAAACATTTCAACAAAGACCAACAAACCAGTGGAAAAAATGGTGAATGGGTAGGAAGAAATCACAGAAAGGGAAATCCACATTGCTCCCGAACATAGGAAAGAATGCACAACTTCACTCATAATAGGAAAAATACAAATTAAGGCTCTTTTTATCTTTCACATATCAGATAGGCAAAAATCCAAAAGCACGATAATGCTGTGTGTTGGCCAGTCTGTGGGGAAATGGGCACTCTCGTATGTTGCTGGTGGGAATGTAAATTCCTCAACCCCTATGGAAGGCCATTTGGCAACATCTCTCAAAAGCACAAATCCACACAATCCTTGATCCAACAATTCCAGGTCTACAAATTTATCCCACAGATAAGAGACACACACGTAGAGAATTGTATCTGCATGAGGTTATCCTTGCAGCACTGTTTGCAATAGCCAAAGACTGGAAACAACTAGAAAGTCCATCGCTAGAAGACTAGTTAAAAAAAATTTTGATAAATGAATTATGACGCAGCTGCAAAAGAGAATGAGGATACTCTTTACATATCTGACGGGGAAGGACCGCCAAGCTAGTTTGTCAAGTGAAAAAAAATAAAGTGCAAACTACTGTGTCCCGTCTGCTGTTTGTAAGAAAATACAGAAAATAAATTTGCATTTGTCTGTATGTGCAGAAATAAAAGACTTTTGGAAAAATACTCAGACGCTGAAAAGAGCAGGCTGGGACCAGGGCCCCTGGGGTCAGGCGAGAGGGAGACTTTTCACTGGGGACCTTTTAATACTTTCAAAGTTTTTGAACCATAGGAATGCATCACATAGGAAAAACACCGTAATCACTGTTTTAAAATTTAAAATGTTCTTGGGGACTTCCCTGGTGGTGCAGTGGGTAAGACTCTGCGCTCCCAAAGCAGGGGGCCCGGGGTTCAATCCCTGGTCAGGGAACTAGAACCCACACGCACGCCGCAACTAAGACCCGGCGCAGCCTAAATAAATAAATAAAAATAAAAGGTTCTGGAATTAGTGGTGCTGGTTGTACAACTTTGTGAAGATCCTGAAAATCAGTAAACTGTATACTTTTAAAGGGTAGAAGAATATGGTATGTGAATAATAATTTTTTAAAAAATTTTTTAAAGGAAAGAGCTAGAGGAGGATGCCTCAGAGTCTGCCAGGAGGGGAGAAGAAAGAACCTTTCGGGTGCAGGGCATGGTATGTATAAAGGCAGGGAGGGGTGTGGGAAAGCGAGGCCTGTGTGGAGAATGGGATGGTTTGATGCAGGTGATGCTGGCGCACAGGAAAGGGGCGTGGGGGAGGGGCACAGCTTGCAGGATCTCTCAGACATCTCAGAGAGGAGCTTGGACTTGCAGGCAACAGCCGTGCAGGGGCCTAACACGATCACATTTCTTTTGGAAAGGAGCTGCTGACAAGCAGCCCGTGCGGTCCTGGTGGTGTGGGGCACTAGCTAAGAGCTTGCCGTAAATGGTCCACATTGGAGAAAATGAGGTCAGAAATAGGTCGGGAACAACTGAAATGGAGAATGGGGGCGCTTTCGGAGATACACAGACGGAAAGAGGGTTTGGGAGCAGTTTGGGGGCGGCCCGAGGACACACTCACGGCAGAAGCTGCTGTTTCTCCAGATCGGAGGCTTGATCCCCTGGGCCTGGCAGGCGGCCCCGAAGGCTTGTAGGGACTGGCAGAGAGCATGGTTGAGGCCTCCAGACTCACAGAGGCTGTGGGTACATCTGAGCAGGAAGGGACTGGGAATCACGCGGGTGGCACACTTCGCCCAGGCTGGAGCCTGGAAAGCCGCCTGGCATTGCTCCCGGGCTCTTGCCAGGTCAGCTGCCCGGCAGTTCGTGTTTGGCTTCTCCTGAGGTTCTGCTTCAGTCTTCTTGTCATCTTCTTGGCAACTGGGAAGGGAAAGGGCGTCATCATAGGGACAGCCACTGCCTCATCTATGATAATGACTTGGCGCTCCCAAACCACACCCTGAAGACGCCTCCTGTCTTCACCGGGAAGCTGGCCTGAGCTCTGGCCAGCCTTCCATGTGGCCTCGGTCTCCTCCCACGTTTCGAAGCCAAGACAGGAAGACTTTCTCGTTTCCCCATATGGGTTCCTGGGACCCAGACGCCATTGCCTGTCAAGTTACACGCACAAAGGACCACTCTGGTCTTCCCATCCAGGTGGGCCATATGGTCTAGAATCCCAACTCGTGTTCCTATGCAAAGGCAGAGGTTCTTCGGGGACAATTACTTTGGGTCGATCTCCTCGTCTTGCCAACTGTCCACATACATGACGTCATCCAGGGCTAGTTCATCATTAGGCATCAATAGTTCGTCTTCTTCCTCGCCGTTGAAGTTCCCGCACATGCCGCAGGTCTGTGTGGGCAGAGGGGATCCAGGGATCTTCAGTGCCAGGGATGGCAGAGGGCATTTTTTGTCGGCATCCCCTTTAAGAGAAAGGCGCCCCCCTCCCTGCAGGCTGACTCCCCCTACGAAGAGACCCAGGTGTTTTCCTCACCTTTTCATAATAGGCTTTGGGGATTTCGACCTCTAGGAAACCATTGCCGTCAAACTTGACTTGCACCCCAATGTTGATGGTGAGCACGGTGTAGCCGTCCCTGGAAATGACTTTGACTCCCCGGATCTGGGTGGTCGCCGGGAGGGTGACCCGTGTGCCATTGATCTACAGAGGAGGGCAGGACCCGTGAGCAGGAAGAAGGACCAGAGCCCCGTCCCCAGAGCCCATGTCCTCCCCGCCGGCCTCGCTCACCAGCACTTGGTCCTTCTTCAGGGTGACCAGGGTATTGAAGATGTCCACGTGGACCTGGCGGAGGTAGAAAGTGTGGGGCTGGTCTTTCCGCTTCCCATTCTTGCCACTGATCTTGAAGAAAGGCAGGTCCACGGTGGAGTGGCATATTTTCACCAAGACGTAAGTGCAGGTGCCCCTGACCGCATGGTAACTGCCATCGAAGCTTGCGTAGTGGGACCCGTTGCGGAGGTGGCACTCTCCCATCCCTGGAGGGCAGACAGGTGGCTGAGGAGTGGTCCAGCCTCTAGCGAGAACAGGCCTTCTCCCCTGCCTCAAGGAAAGGATGGGAGGAGAGGGAGCCTCAGAAGGGAAGGAGACAAAGAAGAGAGTCAAGACACGAGGAGGTGGGGCAGGTGTCATTCGGCCAGGGAGAGACTTCTACTATGCCGTCTAAGTCCACGGCTGCCACGGGGAACCGTGAGTGAACCCCAAGGAGCCCTTCTTGATAGAGGGGGAGTTGGGGAGCGTTGGCCTTGGTGGCTGAAGGTCCTCCTCCACACTCAGTGGAGGCCTACCTGCCGCCCGGCACCGTATCAGCCCATCCCGGGACCCGCACATCTGGCCAGGCTCGCAGGCGGTCTGGAGGCAGGAGATGTTGTTGTGAGCGGAGCAGGTGCAGAGCCTGGAGCAGGTGTTGTCCGTGTACCAGCTCTCCCCGACCTGTGGGGCGCAGGCATCAGTGGAGCCGATAGAAACTTGGAAGCCAGAGGTGGTCGGAGCCACCCGCACCCCAGGGCCCGCATGAGGCTCGCTGCCCTTGGCTGCCTGCCTCCATCGCTAGCCTTCCTCAGGCTCTTGGCTTCTGGATTTGCCCCTCAGCCCCCAGCACTGGCGCACCCTGCCCCTTTTCAGGCTCTGAGCCCTCTGGCCCCCAAACTCGGGGAGCTGGGAAGGGCAGGGCACCCCCTGTGGTCTGGCCTCTCACCGGGTGGTAGGAGCCCCTCTGGCTGGTACAGCCACACTGGCTGAGGGGCACACAGGAGGTCCCACTCAGGATGTGGCCTTTCTGGCACTCGCAGCCCTCGGCACAGGGCAGCGAGGACGGGCAGTATGATGGAGCGCTCAGGCTGAGGCAGGTGGCCGGGCAGGGGTTGGCACAGGTGCTGTAGCTGCTGCCCAGTGGGCAGTTCAGAGCTAAGAAGAAATCGGTGTTTAGGAAGGAAGAGTGACTTCCAGCTCTCTGACCTTGGGGCATCAAGAGTTCCTGGGAGGGACTTCCCTGGTGGTCCAGTGGTTAAGACTTGGCCTTCCACTGCAGGAGGTACGGGTTTCATCCCTGGTTGGGGAGCTAAGATCCCACATGCCTCGAGTCCAAAAAAATCAAAAACATAAAACAGAAACAATACTGTAACAAATTCAATAAAGACTTTAAAAATGGTCCATATCAAAAAACTCTTAAAAAAAAAAAAAGGGTTCCTGGGAACGTCCATCAGACGAATGGATAAACAAAATGGGGTCCAATCAGACAACGGAATATGGTTCAGCCTTAAAAAGAAGGAAATTCTGGTACTCGCTACGACATGGTGAACCCTGGGAATATAACGCTAAATGAAATAAGCGAGTCACAAAGAGATGAATACCGTGTGATTCCAGTTAGATGAGGTCCCTAGAGTCTTCGAATTCACAAGGACAGAGAGTAGATGGTGGTTGCCAGGGGCTGGGGGAGGGGACGGGGACTCACAGTGTTTAATGCGGACAGAGTTTCAGTTTGGGAAGATGAAAAAGCTCTGGGGGCGATGGTGGTGATGGTCGCACAATGAGGTGAGTGCGCTCAATGCCACCGGACACTTAAAAATGGTCACAATGGTCATTTTTATGTTCTGTATGTTTTACTACAATTTAAAAAAAAAAGCGTTTCTGGGAAAGAAGAAAGGTCACAGAGCTGGCCCAGGGAAGAAGGGAAGGAGGCAGTAACCAAATGAGATCAGAACTTTTTTGGGGGCCACGCCCCATGGCATGTGGGATCTGAACCAGGGATCGAAACGGTGCCCCCTGCGGCGGACGCGCGGAGTCCTAACCACTGGACCGCCAGGGAATTCCTGGGAGGTCAGAACTTTTTGGTGAAGTGAGAATCGGAGGGAGGCTCCCAGAAGAGGGAGACAAGTAGAGGGTGGGGGCTGGGCTCCGAGAGACCGGGGAGACGGGAACAGAGGAGGGTCCCACGTGGGGCCTGGGGGCCGGGCTGCGAAGGGAAGAGTGAAGGAGCAGAGTTTAGGGAGAGGAAGAGAGGGCAGGGCTCTCGGGACTCCTCCTGGCTGTCAGGTCACTCACGGCAGAAGGTGGTGTTCCGCCAGGCGAGGGCCTGGCCTGCGCGGGCGCACAGGGACGCGTAGGCCTGCAGGGAGCGGCACAGGGTCGAGGTGTCGCCCTTGGTCCCACACTGGCTGTACACGCAACTGGTGAAGCTGGAGTGCGGGGCCACCACCCCGTGGCACTGGGAGAAGGGTCCTGGATGAAACGTAGGTGAGACTAAGCTTGGGGAGGGAGCAGAACCACGCGGCTGCTCTGGGGCAAATTCAACATCCATTTCCATCAGAACCCGTAATTATTGAGAACCTACTGCCTGAGATGCAAAAAACGCCACAGATCCGTCAGCGTTCCCAGGTGACCACTGCCTCTGCATTCCCTCTGCCTGCCTCTTGAGGGCCACTACTTCCTGTCTCACCCTTCCTCCCTCCCTGCTCAGTGCCCCTCCTCTGTCTCCTGCCCCCGGGGAACAAAAAGGGGCCCCCTGCGTGGCTTACCCTGAGGGTTCATTAAGATATCACAGTTCTTATTCCAGGCCTCCGTCACTTTCTTCCCCAGGCACCTGGGGGGCCCGCCACCCGCAGCAAAGCAGCTGACAGAGGAGGAGGGGAAAAGACAGGAGTTTCGGATTGGAGGAAGCTTTCCAAAAGCCAGAGCAAAAGTGGAGAGGGAAACAGGGAGGGGAGTAAGGACGGGAGAGGAGAACAGTGATGGCCTCAAGTAGTAAGGTCAGCAGATGCAGCAGGAAAGCACAAGGTTAGATCTCAGGGTGGACTTCCCAAGAGACAGATCAGTCATCAGCTCCAGGAAAGACTGGGGATGCACAGGGAACACCTCCAGGCTGCCCGCCAAGACTGCGCCCCTGGTCCAGCTCCGCCCCCCCCCCGCCCCCGTTCCGGCTCACCCAGGTTCAGACAACTCATTTAGCTTCCAGGAGGCCCCCAGCTTCACGGAGCTGACCGCAGGCCTTTTATCAGGCTGCAGATTGTCATCTAGGCTGTTGTTGTTGAAGTTCCCTGCAGGACGGAACAGTCAGCAGAGCCCTTGAACTCAGCCCCGGGACCAAGAAGCATCCCTCCCTCTTCATGCAACCAACCAAGATGAGCCCTTTCTCTTCCTTCATCTTCGGCTTCCCTTCATGCCTACCCTAGCGCACGACACCTTCAACCAAGTAAGAGGTCGACAAGCACCAAGGACGCCTAATCAGATGTGTGGATGAGCAGGACCGGGACAGGCTCCAGCCCATGACCCCGGCCTCACCTGCTGGTGCCCTAGGAACTCACCGCACATCCCGCAGAGCTGGCCAGCGTAGGAGGAGGGCACGGTCACTTCCACCAGGTGGTTCCCATCATAGCGAACTTGAAGCCCGAAGTCCGTGTAGAGGAGGATAAAGGAGCCACTGGACCTCACGTTCACCCGGCCTTGTGCAGGCCACACGGGCAGGGCCACCCGGCGACCATCCAGCTACAGAGGCAGGGAGGACACTGTAGGGAAAGGCGCCTGGGACAAGGACAACAACGAGGCCAAGACCAGGGAGCAGGAGGGGGTGGCGGGGGTGTCTCAGAAACTGGGGTTGCGTCTGCCAGACAGGGCCTGCAGGCAAGGAGACGCGGAGAAGAGATGCAGCGTGGGCTGGGGGTGGGGCCGGGGAGGCCCGGCGCAGGCACGCACCATGACCTTGCGGCCTTTGATCATGGAGATTCTGAGGTTGAAGACCTGCACTTGGACGGTTTTGACATAGGAGGCCTCCAAGTTTCCGCCGCGGAACTCGTTGGTGGCACTCACGACGAAGTAATTTTCTGGGGACCTCAACCAACAAGGCTGGGTCAGGGTGTAGGTGCAGGTGCCCATGAAGTGGTGCAGGGCTCCGTCGAATGTCAGGTAATGGGGGTCCCCCGAGACAGTGCAGGTAGCGGACCCTGGGCAGGAGGAGATGGCGTTCAGAGAGGCACTGACCCTGAGCTGCCATCTTGGCGAGTCCACATTGGAATGGTACCCACGGCTCAACGGGGTGGTTGGTGTGACTTGGAGAGGTCAAGGTCAGGGACCGCCCCAGCCTCACTCTCTGGGTCCTTGAAGACGCGGCTTTGGCTCTGGGCAATTGCCTTCCAGCCCCCTGGTTATGCTCCAGCTCTCTGCGTTAGGACAGGACCATGCCTTTGCTCGAGGCCACATGGGCAGCCCCCATGAGCACCTTCTTTCGACTGCTCACCTTGAGCGTGGCAGCCATAGATGCCATCCTGCCGACCACACACCTCCTGGGCCTGGCACCTCCACTGCTCACAGCGAGTTCTGTTGCTGCCCTCGCAGATGCAGAGCTGTCTGCAGCCTGGCTTGAGCCACCGCTCCTCTACCTGGCGGACGGACCGAAGGAAGGGAAATAAGTTATCCCCTGATCGATTAGCACTGCTATTCAGATCACCGGCCTGCTCACCAGGAAGGCATTCGTGTCATCCCAAAGCTCCAGGCTTGGTTGCAAAACCCTGGCATCCGCTCACTCGTTCAGTCACTCCACTGTTTGTTTGTTCACTAGTTCAACAGACAGTTATCATCTGCCTTGTGCCAGGCGTCAGGGATTCATGATAATGAGCTGGATGGATGAGGTCCCTGCCCTAACAGAACTCACAGTCCAGAGAGGGCAGTCAACACGTAAACAGATAGATCACGTGGTCCAACACACTCTGCACCCAAAGATGATAATCAGGGCACCCAGGGAGAGTTTCGTGCCATTGACACAGGCGATCGGCACTCGCCGCAAGAGCTTAGAGATGCTTCTCAGGAGGGCTTCGAGGAAGCAGCAGCATTTCAACAGGGCCTCAAAGGAGGTGAGAATGGCTAACGGGCATAGTGCCTGGGAGGCAGAGCAGCGGGGAAGGGCTGAAAAGAAGTTGAAACTGAGAGAGCAAAGCGCAGACGAGGAGAGTTCCGTGAGCCAGCCTGGAATGCGGCGCCGAGCAGGGAGAGCCCAGGGGACACCAGGTGGGAGGGGGCTGGGATGGACATCAGTGTCACCCCAGGCCTCGGGTGAGGGACAGGCAAAGGAAGAGAGAGAGAAGTTTCAAGGATGAGAGTCTAGCTCCAAGTGCTGCCTCTGAGAAGATGGTGAAGACGGGGCCCAGGTAGCAGCTGAAATCCTTCAGCAGAGAAAGGGACCCTCAGTAGGAGAGAGAGAGTACAGGTGAGATGCAGACATGCCTGGGCCTTCAGAGGATGAGAAACCGGGAAAGTGACTCAGGGATGTGATGGGCGGGGAAGATAGGAGGGGAGAGAACTAGGGGTCCCAGGCTCTGCTGGGCAGCGTGGGAAATAACTGTGCTATGACTCCATCCCGGTCTGCAGGGATGAAAAGTACTAGAACTGAAGAAAGAAAAAGGGAAATTAGACCTAAGCCCGAAGTTCCTTAATCCCAGCCCGCCCCCCCGCCCCTCCCCCTGCCCCTCCCCCCTCCCCCTGCTTTTTCTGTCTTGCCCACGAGCTGGCCGTAGACTTCAGAGCTGGGATGAGTGCCTTCTGGCTGCAGGGCTGAGAGAGTCCCAGCCCCAGCGGCTCACCTTGAAGTAGCCGGCCGTGGGGTCAAGGCAGCCACATTCGGACCTGGGGACGCACTGGAGACCGCTGAGGACGAAGCCCGGGTCGCACTCGCAGCCCTCCACGCAGCGGTTCTGGCAGGCCATGCCCGAGAGCTCGGAATGGCAGGTGTCGGGGCACAGCTTGGCACACAGGGTGTATCGGCTGTTGGGTGGACAGGCCAGCGCTGGCAGAGGGGGGGAGCACAGGTGAGGCGGGATGGGGAAAAGAGGAAAGAGGCAGCTCCCAGCCCAGAGTTCAGAAGGCCGGTGGCTAGAGGCTTCCGCCCCATCTCGAGAAGAAGACAGTGACTGGGAGAAACCACCGAGGAGCTCAGCTTCCACGTCCCGGGCCTGGAAGGGGGCCTGCAGGGAACCGCCAAGAGGCAGGACCACGGGAGCAGACTGACCCAGAAGCCTCAGCGGCACTGCTGTGGAGGGTGCAGGGGAGCAGAGGGAACCCAAGTGGTCCCATCAAGGCCCCAAAGCAGGCTCCCCAGAGGGCTGGGCCACGCCCAGGGGCTGTGGGGCCGTCATGACGCGCCATCCCCCCCACCAGTCTGTACTGTACCCACATTCTGTGTATTCTACGTGTGCATCCCTCGACCTGGGTGTGAATTTACACACATATGCATTGCTCTGCATACCCGTACCTTCAGGTAGCTGGGAAAGCTTTCTTTCTTTTTTTTTTTTTTTCCCCCCAAAGAGCTTTAATTAAGACTTTAATAGAGCAAAAAGAGGTCAAAGTGTCGTCAGGGCCCAAATCAGAGGTAACAAAACCAAGCTGGATGCAGGCTGCAAGTGTTGCCTGGAAAATCCACAGCAGGGAGCGAACCCTGGGAAGGCTTTCTGAGTTTGCAGGTGACCGTGTGATTTTCTCAGTGCATGTTTCTGACTCTGCAGATTTCCCTGTCCTAGTGTGGAGGCAAAGGGGTTCCACCAGGGCGCCGCCCAGCCTGTGCCACCACTCTCAGATGCCGCCGGCCCTCCACTGCGTTTGCGTCTGAAAGAAGGGGCCCTACATCTTAGTACAACTCACGGCAGAACTGGGGTCCTCTCCAGGGCTTCACCACGTAGCCGGCATCCTGGCAGGTCTCGGTCAAGGCCGACATGTGGGCACACAGCATCTGCTGCAGCCCCTGGAAATTACACATGTCAAACACGCAGTTGTCGAAGAAGGAAGAGGCTCTGAGGTGAGGCAGGCAGGCCCTGAGGAGAGAGGCCAGGTCAGAAGGAATGAGGGGGCAGAACTTCCCGCCTCCTGCCACAGAGGACCTGGTCCCCCCGCCATGGCCCTTCCCGTCCCCCCACCCCGGGCCCCCGCACATACTCAAAAGGTCCGTGAGCGACCGTGAGCCGTCCACAGAACTCTGGCCCTGACACAGTGTTCTGCAAGGCAGTGTCGCAAGATGGGGGAGATGCCCGGTTCTCCTGGCACCTGGAAGAGACCCACCCCAAACGCCCTAAGGACCGAGGCTCACCTCCACGCCCAGCCCGCCCCAACAGTCTCCCGGCTCTCGGCATCCCCTAGTGGAGAACATCTGAACACCAAGAGGCGGGAAAACTTGGAGCCGGGCAAGCAAGAGGCGGGGCTGCCCACAGTCGCCTGGGGACGACTGACTGATGGTGGGGCTGGGGGTGAACGTGGTGGCAATGAACTCTGCTGGGAATGGGAGCGGGGAGAAGAATGACAGACGTGGGGGTGTGCAGCAGAGGAGAAAAGGGGTGATGCCAGTCGGGATTCTTGGTTCCTCGAAGGGGCAAAGGAGCAGGAGGGTGGAGACAGAGGCGGGGAGGCCCTCACTCGTGGTCTTCATCCTCCGAGGCCCGCCAGCTGATACCCAGCTCCGTCTCATCTCGCGCTGGTCTACCATCCGGCTTCTGGTTGTCGTTGCTACTGTCTCCATCATAGTTGCCACAGAAACCGCAGAGTTTGCCAGAGTAGGTGCTGCGGGGGGGCCGGGGGGAGGGGAGGAGGAGGCGTTAGTGGAGAGAAGGGGCCTCCGGCATCTGAGGGACCACAGCAGAGAGGAGATGAGTCGCGGGGGCCACTGGCACGAGGCGGGTGGAGGATGCAGAGGTGCAGACTCGGAACAAGGGTTCCACGCCAGGCACCAGGCACGCAAGGGCCCCAAGCTCTCACTCTCGAGCCACCCTGACGTCTCCCCTCGTCCTCTTCTGCTCACACTTCATCTTCCAGCCATAACAAACTTCTTGCTGGCCCTAAGACATTCTACTTTTTCCCTCGCAATGACTGTTCACTATTTCTATAGTCTTTCTTTCCCTTGTTTGGCCATCTGAGGAGCTACTCATCCTTGAAGACTGCAGTCAAGGGACCACTCTTCTGAAGGCTCCCACGACTCATTAGCAACCCCTTCTAGAACATTCCCAAAGCCTTGTGTATATATCCTGCTACTATCACACTGCCCTGAAACCATTTCCTCCCCCTCCTCAACCAAAGGGAGGCCTGTCCGTTGAGCTAGGTGTCTCCTACCCACGACTGAGAATTAGCGCCTGGGATGGCAGGGGCCGGGGATGGCAGGGTCCCGGGAGAGGGAGGGGCAGGGTGGGAGGAGTGGTAGCTGCCTCGCTGGGTCGCCCCCTCACCTGGGCACGCTCACAGACAGCTGCTGGTCACCATCCCATCTCACCCGCAGACCGAATGCCGTCTGCAGCTGCACAGATCGCCCACTTGGAGTCAGGAAGATGCCTTTAGAAGGTATGGCTGGGAGGGTGACTCGCTGACCCCCAACCTGGAAGGCGGGGCCGAGGGAGGAGACCGAGAGACAGATCCGGGGGTCAAGGAGGACCCCCAGCGGACTCCCAGATCCCCACCGCCACGCTAATGACCTCTTCTGCTCCACGTGGAATGCTCTGGAGGAGATGGGCGGGACAAGGCCACAGCCAAGGCCGGCAGCCCTGCAGGGCTGAGTGGAGAACGGACTCACCAGCGTGTGTCTGCCCTTGAGCAGGGTGATGGTGGTTTCGGGCAGAGTCACGTAGACCTTGCTCAGGCAGGACACGCCCTCCTGTCCTCGCTCCTCATGCTTCACCGTCAGCCTGAAGAATGGCTCTGGGCAGGGAGAGGGGCGGAGAGCGCCCAGGGGCTCATTCCAGAAGCATTTCTGAGCACCCCTGAGGGTGCCACCCCCAACCGGCCCTGCGCCCTGCGAGGATAAAGGGCCACAAAGGTGGCGGCTCTACGGTTCAAGAGGGGAGGAAGGACCCTGGCAGGAGTGGGGCGTCGTCCAGAACAGCGTGGGGCTGTGTGCCACGAATCTGTCCCCCCAGGGCACAGGGACCTCCTCTGCCAGGCACTCCCTAGTCCAAGCCAGCCAAGGAAGCGACGGATCCAGAGAGGAGTCCTAACCCGCATTTTCCCCATGGTCTGGTCCTCACAAAGTCCTGCTTGGGGATGGACGTGTCATCCCTTGCTCGACCGCCGGCCTTGCTCCCATCTTGCCCCTGCCAGCGGCTCTGGTCCTTTCCTGCCGGCCAGTGCACCCCATGCCCAGCTCTTCTGATCTCAGACCCCACGGCCAGGCCGTGGGGGGGGCACCTCCAGGGGCCTACCCGTCGAGTTGCCACAGGGTTGGGCCAGGATGTAGGTGCACTTGCCCATGAAGCTAAAGTGCCTCCCGTCGAAGGTGAGGTAATGAGGGTCTCCGTAGATGAAGCAGGTGGCGGTGCCTGCCGAGGGGACACCGGGGACATGTGAAGCTGGTTCACCAGGCCAGGCCCCAGGGCCCACCTCACCCACCCAGTGGTCTGCCCGGGCTCCCCTGGTCGAGGGAGGGATGGGGACCCTGGTGTCACACCCACGTGGACAGGTGGGAACAGCCTGAGGGTCTCACCATAGGGGTGGCATCCGTACTGGCCATTCTTCAGCTGGCACACTGTATGTGTCCCGCACTTATAGGGCTGGCACTCCGTCCGACCGCCAGGCTGGCAGCGGCAATGTTCTGTGCAGTTGGGGCTGAACCACCCCGTCCCTGGCTGAGGGAAAGGGGGCCGGAGTCACGAGGCTGTAGCTCCTGGGCAGACTCTGTCATCCCATGCTGTAGCCCCCTCTCCTCCTGCAGACCTCACCTTGCTCAGACTCCTCTCCTCATTGCCTACCAGATATTCCTGCTCACCCCAGGCCCTTTGCACATGCTGTGCTGGAACGTGTCCCTCTCCCTCTCTCTAACCCATTCCTGTGCAACTAGCGGAGTTCAGCTCAAGGGTTGCTACCTTCTCAGGAAGACTCTCCAGACCTCCTTGACTACCTCTGGGTACCTTTCCTTCCCAGGACTTACCACAATTGCACTTTTATATTCATCTTTGTGATTACTTGATAAGCGCCCCCGCGAGGGACGATGTCTATCTTTACTCACTATCTCAGTGCCAACACGTAGCACAGTGCCTGGCAAAGAGTTCTCATTTAATAAATACTTACTGAATGAAAGAACGAACCAACATCCTATGTGCCCCCCGGAATCCGACAGCATTAGGAGAGCAAGGACATGCCCTATTCGTGGTTACCCCAATGCCGAGAGGTTTGAAGGTACCCAATAAACGTTTATTGAATGCATAAGTGAACATACAGTAAGTTCGTATGTGTCTCCCGGGGCAGAGGGAAGAGATGCTTGGTACTGATGGTTGTGACAGATAGTTCTACCCAGGCTGCAGCTGAAGCTACTCCCAACACTGACGCAGGGACGCCCGGGAGACCGGTCAAGAGGGCTGGAGGAGGAAGGGGCCCCCGAAGAGGCAAGCAAGAAACTCGGACGCCCCGTGGGGAGAGTGCCGGAGCTGAGAAGAGGAACTGATGCTAATGAATAGCTGACTGAACTTCTGCTTCACAGGTCACATGTATTTACCATAAATTGCTAACAATGGTGATTAGCATTTATTAAGTAATTGCTCTGTGTCAGGATCTAATCTCACCTTCACAACAACCTAATGCGGTAGAAAATCTTGTTGTGCCCATTTTATAGATATGGGAACAGATCTGAAGAAGGCAAGAAAGAACCTCGCCCAGGGTCACTCTGCAAACGAGTGGCGGAGCGGGGATTTGACCTCAGATTGGCCTGACTCTTGGGCGGCTCTGTCCAATACAGTGGCCACCAGCCACATGCCACTGAGCTCCTGAGATGCGGCCGGTGCAAACTGACACAGGCTGTAAGTGGAAAATACACACTGGAGTTTGAAGCCTTAGTAGGAAAAAAAAAAAAGGTACGCAAATGATCTCATTGATAACCATCGATTACAGGCTAAAACGGGTAGATGAGTGGAGTTAACTTAACCTGTTTCCTTGTACTTTATCTTTTTTTTGTTTTTTGGCCTCACTCGCGGCTTGCGGGATCTTAGTTCCCCAAGCAGGGATTGAACCCGGGCCCTCAGCAGTGAGAGTGTGGAGTCCTAACCACTGGGCCACCAGGGAATTCCCTCCTTGTAGTTTTTTTTTTTTTTTAATGTGGGATTAGGACAAGTAAATGCTGTGTGAGGTTTGCATGCCATCCCTTTTGGACAGCGCTGGCCCAGAGCCTGTGCTCCACCAGAATCTCCCGGGGGGATGGGGATGGGCATCAATTAGGAGAGACAAGAACAGTATCTCCTCTCCTTTGACCTAGCCTATCAAAATTGGCAAGTTCCGTTGGAAGAAGGTTCTGGAATGCCTCATTCTGCCCTGAAAATGCCTGAACACACTCAGTGTCCAGGGCTCTCTGTATACTCAGGGACCCCTGACTTTCCTCAGGATGGAGATAAGGGCCCTGCACCACCTGGCTGGTCTATCATCTAATGCATCATGGCTGCCAGTGCAGGACGGAGAAATACAGAAATGTCAAAGCTGCCAGGAGCACCGAGGACAGGGCCACGGGCTGACAAGATCTTCCACACAGCCTAGTGTCAGGCTGGGCCAAAGCAGGTGCTTAACAAGTATTTATTGTGTGAACAGAGCCGAGGGACTTCCCTGGTGGTCCAGTGGTTAAGACTCCGCACTTCCACTGCAAGGGGCACAGGTTCAATCCCTGGTCAGGGAACTAAGATCCCACATGCCGTGTGGCGTGGCCAAGAAAAGAAAATAATAAAGTTAAGGCAAAAAACCACACACCGAATGAATGACTCCACCACCGTGTCACAGCTGCCGGCGAGCTGACCCCTTGGGAATGTCCCAGGGAGCCAAATTCATGTCACCTGGGGAGCAGGTGGCGCTGGACCCCAGGTGTTCTGCTCTCAGTTTCCCTCAGAGGATCTGGGCATCCTGGGGTCTCACCTTATAGTAATTGTCATTGTAGGAGCAATTGCAGGAAGAGGCATTGATGCAGCGGGAGTCGCTGAACAGAAAGCCAGGATCGCAGACACAGCCGGACTTGCAAAGGAGCCCACAGCTGGGCGCGGGGCTCTGGCAGGATGCTGGGCAGGCGCAGCGCTCGTAGTGGGCATTCGGCGGGCAGCTCACTGAGGGGAAAACAGCCTCTGTCAAGCCCCCGGCTTTCCTCCTGTCTCCCCTCTACCCCCCACTCCCGTTCTTCTTGAAGAAGGAGGTCCATGTTACTCTGCCATTCAAAGGAAGGAAGTCCTGACACAAACTACAATCTGGATGAACCTTGACAACAACATATGCTGAGAAAAAAGAAGCCAGGTCCTCGGTATGAAATGTACCGAACAGACAGAACGCAGATTCGTGGTTGCCAGGGGCTGGGGGGCGGGGGGAATGGGAGTGACCGCTAACGGGTACGGGCTTTCTTTATGGGGTGATGCAAATGTCCTGACATGGAAAAGTGAGGATGGCTGCACAGTCTTGTGGATATGCTAAAACCACCAAATCATACACTTTGAAAGGATGAATTTTTACAGCAGTGAATTATATCTCAATTAAAAAAAAAAAGCAATAGTAAGTCTAGTGCTTGGTTCCCAACAACTCCCGCTCCCCCATGCCCACCCCACCGCGGCCCTCTCACTCAGGGTCGTCCTCATCATCCTTTCTAAAGTCATCGTGTCTGGTTCCCCTCTCCTCTGAGACTGCAGTTTTCTACTGGAAGCGTCCGTTTCCCCAGCCCTCTCCCCTCATCACTGTCTCTGACTTTCAGCTCTTTGTCCAATGCTCCACCACAAACCTGGAGTAGGTCTTGGGGTTGCAGTGGTGGCCGGGGTCACGGTGGTCATGGAGGTACTTGGCATCACGAAAACTGTTGGCCAGGTGGGTACAAGAGTTGGGCTGGGCTGGGGTGTCGTGGGAACTGTGGGCCTTTCAGTGGGGACTGTGGGTTTTTCCGTGGGGATGGTGGTCCTTTCGGTGGGAACTGTGGGCCTTTCAGTGGGGACTGTGGGTTTTTCTGTGGGGATGGTGGTCTTTTTAGTGGGGATGGTGGT